GGGGAAAAGTGTAGAAGATTTCATAAGTCATTTTAGGTTTCTCCTAACATTATTTTGCAATATTTAGAGTAATTTACTTTAAAATACTTTATCATAGAAGTGTGGGATTATATGTGTGAGTTGGTTTTAATCTCTTCCCTAGGAGGTTAAGTTTTCACGTGAAGTATACTATCAGGAATGCACCACTCAGGGGTTGGTTGGTTAGCATTTGCAAGACTCTAATCAGAAGTTCACATTTTGTTTGAAAGATTTTTTTCTTTGGTGAAATGAGTCCTTTCTCAAGATAACATGGATTGGCTAGAAATATTGTACAGGTGCCCTACCCTTGTAGCCCTGTATGGGAAGGGTGCACGAATTTAGTCAACCCAGCAGATTCTTGGCATTGGACACTGATTTGTTTGTGTGTTTATTTCATTGAGCTTTCTGCTGCCATTCTGAATTAGACTTTAATTAATCCCATTCTGATTAGATTTAGGGAATCTAACCTTGTACCCTAAAGACCCTCGTACCTTGGAAGCCTTTGGCAGTCTGGTGGGGCATATGGACTCATTCTCAGAACTATGTTTTTAAATGAATAAAATGCATAGAGTTCTATGGGAAACCATTTGTACTGAAACATCGTTATCAAAAAAAAATTTTTAGGCCGGGCGGGGTGGCTCACGCCTGTAATCCTAGCACTCTGGGAGGCCGAGGTGGGCGGATTGCTCAAGGTCAGGAGTTCGAAACCAGCCTGAGCAAGAGCGAGACCTCATCTCTACTATAAATAAAAAAGAAATTAATTGGCCAACTAATATACATAGAAAAATTAGCCAGGCATAATGGCACATGCCTGTAGTCACAGCTACTTGGGAGGCTGAGGCAGGAGGATCACTTGAGCCCAGGAGTTTGAGGTTGCTGTGAGCTAGGCTGACGCCATGGCACTCACTCTAGCCTGGGCAACAAAGTGAGATTCTGTCTCAAAAAAAAAAAAATTTTTTTTTTAAAAGAACAAGTATGTCCTGATGTTAGATACAGGCAGTCATACTTACTGTGTTTTCAGGAGCCTCTTTCTGTCCCCGCCCATCTCTACTGGCTCACTCTGGGCACTTTTAGAGCTGTTCTCTCTTATTTATACAGCAGTCCTCCTCTGCAGGTGAGTGTGTGACCTCCAGGGAATGGGAGCAGAGGCCGAGGCTAGAACGTTTGCTCAATCTGTCATCTTGAGCAAACCTTTGGTGTCAATTTAGAGTTACTTTCTCATCTTTGACTGGAATCTTGTGGATTATATATCTAGATGATTGTTTTAATTTCTATCTGGACATTTGCAAATTAAATTCATAGTAAATTACTCCAAATATCTTTTTTAAAAAAAACAACAAACCCAAGTTATCTCATGGCTCTAATTTAGGCCTCTAAATCTAACTCTTAGGAGTGATTTATTTCTGATCAAACACAAGGGCAACAGCAACATAAAACATAACTCCTTCTCTTCTAAGAAACCCTGCCTTATCTACATATCCCTATTTATGTACTGTTAGATTTTTTTTTATATATTTGTGTGTACACATATTTATAAACGGGCTTATTTCCCTCTTAGCCCTTAGTAGCTATTAAGTTTTGATAGTGGTGGTGATAGTATCCTTACTTAGATACTGTGAGCTCATCTAAATATTAATAATTTCTTTTACATTTGTGCGTAAATATCTAATGTGGGTCTACATACAATTCATGTTTGTATAAATGTTGGGATGTGTCAGTTACACACATATTTTTTTCTCAAGAATAAAAAATCCTTGAGATTTTCTTGAGAGTAAATAACCCTTGAGATTTATATGGGCATATATTGGAGTATTTTTTTGAATTTCCTTTGTTGGTAATTCTTTCTCTGTCATTTATTAAGTTCCCATGTGTGTCTTTTTCTAGACTCTCTATTCTATTCCATTGATCTCTTTGTCTAGCCCTGTGCTTGTACCACTTTATTTCTGTCATGGTAACTGTGGAAATTTGGTAAAGTTAACCTTCTCTGCCCCATGTGTTCTTCAAAGTTTTCTGATATTCTTGAACCTCTAGTTTCCATATGTATTATAGGATCAATATGAGGAGTTCATGAAAACCTGTTGGAATATTTATTTTTGTTGCATTGGTGTTATAGATTAATTTGCAGAAAAATTGACCTCTGAGTCTTCTCATTAATGGCTATGTTTTACCTTCATCCATTCACTTCTCTAATGCTCTTCTCTTCTTCATGTAGATCTGAGTTTCTGACCTATATATCATTTTCCTTCATTCTGAAGAACGTCTTTTAATATTTCTTACAAGGCAGATCTACTGGCAAAAAATTTCTTCAATTTTAATTAATGTGAGAAAGGAGAACTATCTTCTTTACTTTTGAGGAAGAATTTCACTGTATATAGATTTCTAGGTTGGTGGTTTTTTTTCTCTCAACATTGAAAATTTCACCCTAACATGAAGTATCAGGTGAAATGATCTGAGGTAAATGGGCCTTTGGTATGAGGTTTTGTTTATCAAAGGCTAGGAGCTAGGCTGTATTTACTGGTTGTGGTAGCTATAGGTTTCAGAGACTAAAATTTCCTCTGGGGACCTTGACTTCGTTTCTCGTCTTGTTTTTGGATTTTCCTGAGAATGCTTTCTAAAATAAAATCTGTGTCAGGTAGCTTTTTCAGTTGTAATTCTGTGGTGTTATTCAGAAACCCTATTGATGTGGGGAAGGGAAGTGTTCTATAATCCTATGGTTTAGTCTCTCTCTCTTAGTGAGCCTGTACTCCTGGCCTGTGACCTTCACAAGTGCTTCTCAGCTTTTCTTCCCTCCTAGAGGGTAAAACATGAAGGCATGAAGACTAGAGGGAGATGAAAGGGCTGGAGTTCCCTTCTCCCAGGTCAGTTAAGTTTTGGTAAAACCCTAGCAGGTTGGGCTATGGTAAAATAGTTTTCTCTGAGTCCAGGCCTTTGTTAAGGACAAAAGAATGTGCTGGGCCTATTTTGAAATGGTTAATTTTCCCTCCCCCTGCCAGAAGCTCCAGGCGATTTTTCTCAGATCTTCACTCTTGAAAACTTTTTGGGGCTCCTTGAGGTAAAACTCCCAGAAGTTTGGGGGCTCTTCTAAGGCTGGGCCTCCAGGAGTTTTTAATCTCTCAAGCTAATCTGTGCTCAGTCTCCAACAATCAGTCAATTACTTTTAAATTTTTGTACCAGTTGGCTCAAGTGGTGGTTTCTGCTTGTGGTAAGCTGCGATTCTTTGAATTTACCTGTCTCTCCAGTTGTGGAGATGGTGGTTTGTCCTGTGACTGCAATTTCCTGATAGATCTAAAGAAAATTTGTTGATTTTCAGTTTGTTCACTTTTTACCTTGTTGTGAGGATGGTTGTGATTGTTTCCAAGCTCTTTACATGTTGGACCGGAACCCAGAAATCCATCAATGACTATAGTACCTGTAAATATTTTATATATATGTATATATTTTTCTGTCAAGGCCATGATATCATAGTTACCCTAGAATTTTATTGTTGTTGCAAATGGAATCTTTTTTTTTTTTTTTTGAGACAGAGTCTCGCTTTGTTGTCCAGGCTAGAGTGAGTGCCCATGGCATCAGCCTAGCTCACAGCAACCTCAAACTCCTGGGCTCAAGCGATCCTTCTGCCTCAGCCTCCCGAGTAGCTGGGACTACAGGCATGTGCCACCATGCCCGGCTAATTTTTTTTTTTTTATATATATATCAGTTGGCCAATTAATTTCTTTCTATTTATAGTACAGACGGGGTCTTGCTCTTGCTCAGGCTGGTTTTGAAGCAAATGGAATCTTTTTCCAATTATGTTGTTTTATTTGTTATTGTAGGTGCATAGAAATACTATTGATTTTTGTGTATTCATCTTCTGACAATCTTGCTTTTTTGGCCATGCTTAATTGTTGTGTTTCAAACTTCTTGAGATGGACACTTAGATCATTTATGTCAGTCCTACCTCTCAATTAATATACACTTTTAAACCTTATATAGCTGTTGATCGCATTGAGAAGTGTTGATAGTGGTATGTATTTCTTTCCTTTGCATCATTTTTGCTTCTGACCGAACTGGAAGTTTGGAGTTCTCAAAATATCTTGGTGGAGCATCATATCTGTCCTTTGAATGATGTATCATCACTTAGTAAAAGAAGGTGAACAAAACATCCCTGGTTCTTAGGGTCCTTACAGAAATATGTAGATATAATATTGCATATAAGCTTATTCTGTGAAGTGGGGATGGAACAGGCTAACACTGATGGGTCACTAGCCATGTATGGCAGTCTTTACCTGTGTAGGGCATTGTTTCATTGGTTTAGACAGCAAGATGTCACTGGGATGACCTGACCTGTATCAGTGTAGAGGAGAATAGGTATACAAACAATAGGAATTTTGTTTATTGTCACCAAAATAATTCATCAGATGAAACAGTTAGTGGGTTTCAAAGTTAGACTGTAGTTATTTGTCCTTTTCTGCATTGGCATTTTGGAGGAAAAAAATGTTCTTAAATATTTTGGATTATGTTTCAAACGACACTTTATGTGCTCTGGCAATTGGGAAATCATAGGGGTGGTTTGTACAGTAGATTTACACCTTTTGAATCTACTTTGTCTAAAAATAACCAAGATTAACTAGTCATAGTTCTTTGTTGATGTATTATATTTGATAAAACATGAGGATTATGTATCTCTTTTCCCCCTAACATTTTGATTGTTATTTAGCTTAAACAAGTAATGATCACTAGCTTATATGTATTAATTTGATTTTTTAATGCCAATCTATGCCAACCAGATTTTATGTTATATACTAAATTTCCTTTGATAAACCCTGAAGGTTTTGAGAAATTACTGTTTTGATATTGATAGTCATTTTGACCTGAGGACATTTTCAGAGTTAAATGAGATTGGTGATTAGTGATTCTGTCTGTGGAAACAACATAGATGGTGGTTGATATCAGCTTTGTGTTTATAGAGATTCAAACCAAGTCTTTCACATGCTTTCTTTTAGGTTGTTGATTATATCCTGCCACCCTTGGTCTCCTTGGTTCAAAGCCAAAATGGTAAGTGTGACCACACCAGCAAAAATGACATCAGTTACATCTTCTGCTTTCATTCTATCTCCATGTAGTCATACTCTTGTTATTTATTTATTTATTTTTCTTGCAAGTGGAATGGAGACTCTTCAGCTTGCGGTTGCTCTCAGAAACCACATGTCTGCTCGTGAACCAGGAAGTTGGGGATGGCGAGGATGCAGCCAGTGTTGATTCTGACAGCAATCTTCAGGCCCTCATTAGAGACGTCTTACTTCCCCAGTAAGTATCATGCAGCTTTACTCTTACGGAGAAGCGTACGATGTCCAGGAAGCTTCTGTCAAACTGGGTTCAGTGATGGGGTCAGAGTCTTGATGTCCTTGTATTAATGTTTATGCACATGTGTTTATGTTCTCATTGTAAAAGAGGTCTGGAAACAGAGGCAGTAGCTATTACACTGAAGAATCTCAGTGCATCTACAAAAACATTTATTTAAATCTTAATCTGTTTTCTGCCAGGCTCATGACTCTGAAGTTATGCAGATTTAAAGGTGTTAATGGCTCAAGGGCTGGGGTTTATGATTCAAAGTCAATACTATAAAAACTACCAGAACATGAGATTTAGACTTTTGATGACTGTACTCAGAAATAATTGTGATGGAAGGAAGCCTTCCTTTTACCCCAAACTTTTGGAATGGAAATTAAGTTTAGTTACAAACAGGATTTTTCTTGGGGGCGTTAGGAAAGGTGGTGTAATAGGTAATGAGTATTAATTAACAGAAAGGGGTTATGTTTTTCTTTTGCTCCACTGCTTGTGTAGCAAACACACAGTGGGATGGTTACTGAGACCACCCAATGTAAACATGCAAAACTCTAAAATGGCACTTTATATAGTTAGGAAAAACTGTCAAAATTTTTTAATTTATTGATTTTTTTCAAAGACCCTATTTCCAAATATTTATGAAACTTAAGTAATTTAAGTTTTAAAAAAGTATATGCCATGTACCACTATTAAAGCAGATTTTTTGCAAAATTAAATGATAGATTGTATATCATGCATTAATATACATGCCTGATCATAGCTTCCTTCAAGGCCTAGAGTATAGTCTGAGTCAGTTTGGCAGATTTTCAGCAATGTCAGCCTTACCTAATAATGCTCTCTCTTTTTGTTCAACTTCTTAAGATCTGTTCTCATTTTTTTAAAAATCAATTATCACAATATAGAAACCAGATGTAATTACATTTCAATTTGGCCCATGTTAAGAGTTTGAACTGTCTTCTATAGAGTTAGGTCCAAATTAAAAAAAAAAATAACGAAAATTGCCACTTGATAGAGATGAAGCACTCCACTGCTCCTAGTTGGTTGAGGAAGGTACCTCTTCCACGTGTGCAGCTGTTCTGTGTCAAACCTTCCCCTGGCCGAGGGAGCCTGTCTTGACTGATTGGAGCTTGATGTATAATGGCTAGATTTATAGGGCCAGCCTCTTGTTTCTTTTGTCCTTCCTACACTTTCGCTGTTGGTTTCAGAGAGACCCTTGATAGTGAATACATACAGTAAGAATTCTTTTGATTCTTCCCAAAGTAAGAAAATTGTTATTTATATGGGGGGGAAAAATAAAACTTTGCCATGTGGCGCTTTCTCAGTGATAAACTATCAATATCACTTGCATTTGTTATATATGAGTATGTGTATATAGTTTATACTTGTGCGGATTAAATAATACATTAAAACCTTCTCTAATGGGATTAATTCTTTCATTGCCATTTTATGCTTGGAAACTATTCATATATAATCGTATCCACCTTTCTGACAAGAAAATGCCAAAAAATACAGTTTTAGCACAAAATGTAATGTGCTTTGGATATCTGCTATCTACTATCTAAAAACTTGTAGAGAACCATTTTTAAGAACCCAAGCTGTTCTCCCACAATTATAGGGACAGGATTTACTCCATTGGGACCTCACCGTTTAGTAACAGCTTCTTAACAGCTCTGTTAATCTGAAATAAAATTTCTTTACATCTGATGTCTGCCCAGTTTCAGAACAGTTTGTAAAATGAAAAGTGTTAACTTTAATTCACTGCTCCTGTGTTATTCATTTGAACTGGAATAAATAATAAATATTTTCTTAAATGTGGGTCTTTACCTTTTCCAGAGATAAGGAATTAAAGAGGAAAATGCAAATGTAAGTCACATGGCAGTTCAAGAACATAAATAATGTATTAATAGATGAGTTCAGGTTTTTGTTAAACAACCTGAAATGCACTTCAAACTAACAGATGATGATAGTATGGGATATACTGGGATGTGATGTGGAATGTTTTCAAAGCTTTTGGGCTGATCCTATTGTGAAGTACAGGTCTTAGCTCTCTGCATTTGTCTCTAAGCCTTAGTTTCTTCATCTATAGATTGGGGATAATAGTACCTACCTCAGAAGATAATTGTGAAGATTAAATAGGATACTTCTTGTAAAACACTTAGGACAATATATGGGGCATAGTACACTCTTGACAAATGTTTAGCACCATAGCTATTATTATTAGGCTCATTTTGATCTTTCCTATTTATCTTTTTTTTTTTTTTTTTTGAGACAGAGTCTTACTCTGTTGCTCAGGCTAGAGTGAGTGCCGTGGCATCAGCCTAGCTCACAGCAACCTCAGTCTCCTGGGCTCAAGCAATCCTGCTGCCTCAGCCTCCCGAGTAGCTGGGACTACAGGCATGTGCCACCATGCCTGGCTTATTTTTTGTATATATATTAGTTGGCCAATTAATTTCTTTCTATTTATAGTAGAGCTGGGGTCTCGCTCTTGCTCAGGCTGGTTTTGAACTCCTGACCTTGAGCAATCCGCCCACCTCAGCTTCCCAGAGTGCTAGGATTACAGGCGCGAGCCACCGAGCCAGGCCCCTATTTATCTTTAAAATGAAGATTATAATAGTACAATAATAGTACATACTTATAGAAGTGAAATGACCATTAAAACAGATAATGTTTATTGTGCCTAGCTGGCATATATAGTAAGGGCTCAATAAATGTCATGTAAAAATTTTTAAACATGAAATAAAAGTAATGCACTCATTTAGCTTTCTTGACTCTGGAAAACTGGAACCTTGGCAAGGAGTTTGGTCTTTGAAGATAACTCTTGGTAATTATAAGTTTAGAAATGCCAATAATGGAAAATTCATATTCTCTGTTGAGTATGTAAATATAGCTTAAGAATTATGTTTCTAGAGTTCAGAGGAGCTATATAGCATCCACTTCAATTTGGCAAGTAGACATATTGATGTGGATACTTTTAATTTTGTTAAAGTTTTAATCCTCCTTTGACCTTAAACAATACTTCGGATAAAGCCAACCTGAAAGCCAACTGACTGAAAGCCAGTCCTTTCATGCACGTGTATATTACACTCCACATTTTTCACATGAAAGTATTGTATTAGTCAAGACTATTTTATTTACAAGTAATAACATCCGATTCAGATTAACTTAGAAAATAAATTGCTCACGTAACTGAGAAGTCACAGACTTGTGCTGGCATCAAATATAGCTGGGTTCAGGGGTTTGATTTATGTCTGCAAGACTCTGTGTGAGTCTTTCTCACCATCTCTCTACTTTGCCTACATCTGCGTGGCTTTTTTCTTAGATACACTCCTAGGTTCCTTCCACTTGGTGGTTAAATGGCTCCAGGGGGGTGATCCTAGAGAAAGGGCAGATGTCTTTTCTAATAGCTCTGGCAAAATTCCCAGGAATAACAATAATTTAATCTTAAGTACCATGTAATATCTGTGTTCCAGGTGCTTATCAGAGCTGCTGTGTAATATGAATGAGAACTCAGTAAGAAAAAACATCTTTGTTAGTGTTCTACAGAGAAACAGAACAAATATTTTGTGTGTGTGTGTATGTGTGTATAAAATAGAGACTTATTGTAAGGAATTGGCTCACGTGTGTATGGAGGCTGAGAAGTCCCAAGATCTGCAGGCTGGAGGCCTGGGAGAGCCATCTATGAGGGTGTAGTTCCCATTGGAAAGCTGGCAGGGTTAAGGCTGAAGAAGAGACAATGTTGCAGTTCTAGTTTGAAGGCTGGGAAAGGCCTTCCTCCCAGTTCAAGATAGGCAGGCAGGAGGAGTTCCCTGATGCTCAGCCTTTTTGCTCTGCTCAGGTCTTCAGTTCATTGGATGAGACCCATCCACATTAGGGAGGGCAACGTGCTCTGCTCAGTGTACTGATTACAGAAACACCGTCGCAGACACACCCGGATTAACATTTGGCCAAATGTCTGGGTCCCCCTGGCTCAGTCAACTTGACACATAAGAATTAACCATCAGAACATCTATCATAAATGTCATGAATGAATTGCTTGCTATTTAGATTAATGAATTAATATAAAAAACTATTGCCTCTTCTCAATGTGCATGCTTTACTTTCTGAAGAGACAAACTTTAGTTGTGAAATAAGCTTTAGTTGTATTTCCTTAGGGCCTACTGTAAGTGGATTATAATACTGTTTTTTTTTGTGTGTGTTTTTTTTTTTGCGACAGAGTCTCACTTGTTGCCCAGGCTTAGTGAGTGCCGTGGCGTCAGCCTAGCTCACAGCAACCTCAAACTCCTGGGCTCAAGTAATCCTTCTGCCTCAGCCTCCCGAGTAGCTGGGACTACAGGCATGTGCCACCATGCCCGGCTAATTTTAGATATATTAGTTGGCCAATTAATTTCTTTCTCTTTATAGTAGAGACGGGGTCTCGCTCTTGCTCAGGCTGGTTTCGAACTCCTGACCTCGAGCAATCCGCCCACCTCAGCCTCCCAGAGTGCTAGGATTACAGGCGTGAGCCACCGCGCCCGGCTCATAATACTGTTTTTTGAGAGGTGATATTTGAGTTAGACATTGAAACCTGGGTATGACTGAGCAGAAGAGGAATGGGCACCCCAGGCACAAACGAGGTAAGCCAGGGTGTGGCAGAGGCAGAGTACTGGGCAGTAAGGAAAGCAGCTTGTTTCCGGCAGAAACCTGCATGTGAGAGTTACACGAAGTAAGCTGGGGGAGAAAGAACATTTTCTGTCTTCACCAGCTCATTTACTCATCCAGTGCTAAATGCATCTTATTTCATAGGCATGTTTCTAGTTGGAATAATTAACGATCAAGATGGGTATGGCCTCTGCCTTTATGGTACTTACACTCTGGCAGGGCCAAAAATTGAGAAATTTTTTTAACTGAAGATATTTATACATCATATACGTAAAAATGTTCACTGAAACATTAAATATCGAAGCTACCTTTCTTAAACTGTG